ATCTAGTCCAGTGACTTTGCCTGGGCTCAGATTATGATATAAAACCCCTGCAGGCAGCAATTCCTCAGTCTCCCCTCCCCCAGTGATCAGACTGCAATATTGTTATCCTGCATTCACACCTGCGTATTCAGTGAATGCGGTGTTCATGGAAACGCAGCAAAACGCACTGGTGTTGCCATTCTTTTACAATGGGACTGTAAACGCGACTCTGCATAAGCTTCTTTGGCGCACTTATTGCGCATAAGGGCCCCATTGAATTCAATGGGGACATGCAGCAAACGAATGCAAACAAACGTGACGCACGTTCACGCCACGCACAGGTGTGACTGCCAGCTAACTTTGTAGCACAGTCTGGTCTGTGATGTGTGTTACTAAATACCTGTTAGTGTTACATTGACACACCACTAGGCATGGTGGACAAGAAGATACTTGATGCTAGTGACGTTCTAGAGATTGGACTCAGAGGGGCAATGTAAATGATGACAGGCACATCTCTGCGAGCACCGTAGCTCGCTCTCCAGTACTAGGCTCCATATTGCTCTCATGACCTGTTCTCTTATAGTAGGTGTACACGCCACAGCTCCCGAGCTCTCACCAGCCAGGCTTTCAAGGAAGGGCGGAGCTCCGAACTACGACCCCCGTCCCCCATACCCGGCATCCTCCGCGGCGTCCTCTCCGCTTCCTGCAATTAGGCTGTGCTGGTTGGGAGGGAATGAACATCAATAATACTGGTAGAAACGTGCTAGTTCGCGTCACGAGACTGGGCCAATTAGGAAAAAGCTAGAGGCCCTGTCTACCAATCAGTGTTTACAATTCTAGCCGGAGGGCGGTGCTGGCCGTGGCAGTGTGTTGGGTTGAAGTGTACTGCGGGAGGAGGAAGATGGAAGTTGTGCGGACTTAGTGCGGGTTCCGGAGTTTCTTGTGGGTTTTATCGGTGTGGAGGGTGAGAGCGTACACAGCAACCATGGAGCAGCCGGCGCCGAAGAGGTGAGCCGCAAAGCAGTCACCATTACCCGGGGGAGAGGGGTACTGAGGGCTGGGGGTCAGTTCTGGGAGCAGAGGCCTCAGACCTGCCATGTCCGCCTGTCACTGAGGAGACCCCGGAGCCCACATCATAACTCTGTCCTCACCCCGCCCAGTGTGGTCAGATATTGTGTGCCGACCACCTAACACAGAGAGCACTGACATGTCTCGCAGGCAGGGTACCAGCACTGACATCTCTCGCATGCAGGGTACCAGCACTGACATCTCTCGCAGGCAGGGTACCAGCGCCGACATCTCTCGCAGGCAGGGTACCAGCGCCGGCGTCTCTTGCGGGCTGCCGGCCTCTCTCGCGGGCTACCAGCGCCGGCGTCTCTCGCGGGCTACCAGCGCCGGCGTCTCTTGCCGCCATCTCTTGTGTTGTACCTGCGCCACTGTCTCTCGCAGCACTGACAGGGTACCAGCACGGACGTCTCTCGCAGGGTACCATCGCCGCCGTCTTGTCTCGCAGGGTACCAGCACGGACCTCAGGGTACCAGCACTGATCTAATAACATGTCACTGTCAGTAAGCAGGCCTGCATTTCTTGGATTAGTTGCTGTTGGCAGTCTTCAGGAACTTGGCGCAGAGAAGTATGGTCGGGCTTTGTAGGCGCACACAGTGACATAAATGAATATAAAAGTTCTTTCAGCTTTTATTGGTTCTCTTCAATGAAGACGTGTTTATAGCGTGCGATGTCACCACACATAGCAGACACCGTGACTGCGCACTGTACAGAGTGACATGTCTATAGGGAGGACGCCAATCGCAACGCAGTCATTTAAACATTGCATTCTCACTCTAATGTTGTACAGCCATATACACCTATCATGACATCACAAAGGTTTGAATACGGATGGCTTCATTGAGGATGAAGAGAATGATTTAAAGATGGCATCCTCCAATATGGCTCCACGCGTTTCACCCCACAGTGATGGGCGGCTTCTTCAGGAGTTGGGCAGTTCAGTCTTCAAGTAAACATTGAAACAAACAATGTCCCTTGTGTCTGCAGTGTCAGAGATAAATAATACATGATCAGACTGCAGTGATAAATACGGGTAGTACAATACTGTGTATATCACCTCTGATGCTCCGCTGAGACGCACAGTCTGGGCACATTGTCTGCACTTTTTATTCATTTCTGAGATGACATTTATTTCATTGTGTGCACAGCCCTACAATAGTTCTCTGTGCAGCAGAGGAGAAGACAGGCTCGGGTGAGTCTACGCTGAACCATGGACTCCACTAGACCTCTGAAGGTATGCTGTGGTATCTGGCACCAAGCCGTCAGTAGCAGATCCTTTTAAGTCCTGTAAGTTGTGAGGTGACGCGTTTCCGGGGTCACGCCCCCTTCATCAGAACGTGGCTTCCTCCTCCTTCCCATAGCATTAAATGGAGGCTGGTCTGTGCAGCTCTCATCCACCCTTTCCTGGCCATCTTAATCCTCCAGAGACTATTAACCATCCAGTATTCAGCGCTGCGGTTCTTTGACTGACATTTATTCCGTCTATAGCAACCAGATGACTGACAGGTGAATGCGGAAGTGATTAATACACATCACTTCCGCATTCACAGGTGCCGCCAATCCGGTATATGTTAAACAGCCGGTAACGGCTCTATGCAGTGCACAGGTTTTTTCTGCCCGTGCGCGCGCGCAGGAAAAGAAATGCCGTCTGGAGACGGCAACCCGCTAATGCAGCAGTGCCGTCCGTCCATTTTTTTTTTCAACGAGTGGACAGCAACTGGTTAAAGACTGAAGTGTCAGTGGGTGGAGTGTCACTTCGGCTGCTCTCATCTACTTCCTGAGCTGCTTCTGTTGATTGTTTTGGAGAGATAACATTACACACTTGCAGTAGAATTCTTATCAACAAACTTTCATTGGCCTTTGTGGTTGATGGAGCTTGCACAGTTCACAGGACTCACTCCATGTCCTGCTGTGCACAACATGATATCAATTTCACGTTAAAAAATTCATGATGTCACCCCAGAGGGAAACAAATGTCAGTTTTAGGTGAATGCCGTTCGTGTGGAAATAAATTTCACTTTGTAGATATACAAACGGTTGAAAGCTGTAAGAGGGACATTGCTCTCAGACTGATCCGTGTTCATTCTGCAGACATCTCTCACTTGGTTTCCTCTATCTCTAGTTGATGAATGATTCTTTGTTCTTATAGTCTGTATTTCAGGGAGAGGCAACCTCAGCACTCCACCTATTGTGGTACTACAAGTCCCATAAGGCATTGCGAGACAGCTAGAGGTGTGTAGGGATCTGTAGTTTCACCACGACTGGTGTGGTCTAGGTTGTCTACCCCTGATGTATTTAGTGCTATGGTAAATGCAAGTTGTACTGTGAATCCAGCTCACAGCAGGTCATTGTAAGGTTGATTTGGTGGTTTTGTGTATTGCCATGAATGATTCCCACATAACACGGGCTGGACCAGCAGCCAGGTAGAGAGTTATCAATAAAATTCAGCTAGTATTGAAAGTGGATGTAAATGTCATTTAAGGACTTTTCAATAAAGTTTATGAAAAAGAAAGTGTACACGGTAGGCTGTGCGTTCAGAGTGGTTGGTTGGCGTAAATGAGCCCTCAAAGTTTCTGAACTGGAGATCCGGCCACAGGGGTGTGGAAACTTTTAAAAATCCTATTTGTCCAGAGACTATAGCGGGGCCCAATCTTTCTCCTCATGACAATCTACTTGTCGTGATGCAAAACAATAATTTTAACCAAAACCGTTTTTTTTAACCTTTTCTAAGAAGCACTCCTCATTGGTCAACGAGTGCTCGCAATTTACAAGTCAAATCTAAAATCCGCAGGGCTGCGCTGGACGGCAGTACATGGTGCGTATAGTACACCTGTAATGATGGAGGGGAAGGACCGTTCATAGAAAGTTTAAGTATAGCGGGGGGTGGGTGAGGGGGCCAGATTTGAGCGGGTAATTACTTGGTAAAGTGAACATACCCTTTACGTTGTGTGTGGTAGAGAGCGCTCCTGCCCGGCTACCACAATATGTCACACAGTGGAATGGGGGCAGCACTCCGCGTGCACACACACACACACACACACACACACACACACACACACACACACACACACTCAGTGCCCTATGCATGCGTTTATTCACATGCAGATGGCGGGGTTGGTTAATTTTTAAATTTGTTTATTATTTGATAGCGTTTGGAGGTGACCGGTTCTCTTTATGGAGCCTGCCCTCCAATACAGAAGATTGAGCGCAGCATTGTGCAGTCCGCCTTATGACAGCTGAGACGGGAAGGCTGTGAGTATAGCACTCTTGTCTCATTGATTACACAGCAGATAAGAGAATGCATGTTCTCCAGGCTGCTTCCCTCTCTCCATCCTGGAGGTCCCAGGCCCCCAGAAGATCAGGGGACCCCAAAAATCATAGTGGGGAGTTGGGGCCAGCGGGGAGCTAGAAGGCTGCTACAAGTGATCGGAGCAGCTGTACAGCCACCTAGAGCTCTTGTACAATACGAGCGGTGGCTCCCTTGCTGTACATTCGGCTCCGCTTGCCCGCAGCAGAGCTAAATGTAGAGGAACAAAACCCAAAACACCTGCCCGGTGCACGGAACTTCATGCCCCAGACGTCGGGCGATAGGAAACGTTCACCCCTGTTGCAGCTGACAATGCTAATCCAGTGCTTACCATTGGCAGCAGCAATGTGGGCCTGCTATGCAAACTCCTTCATTTGTGGGTGACCACTCTACTGCTGACTGCAAGGCTATGGCTTTGTGTTGTCAACTTGTGGCAGACATTTCTGGATCTCCAGATAAGAAACTTTGGAACAGAAAACAGAACTTTGCCTCAAGCTGAACTCCGGGATAAGCAACTATTGTCTAAAAACAAGAGGCAAGTGTAGTACTTGAATCTAGATCTGTGCAGTGATCCAGTGTGAGACTTCCTGTAATAAAGACCGGACACTGCTGCTGTCTCTCCTTGCGCGGGGTGACTTGTCTTATCTCCGCCCCCCTCCTGGAGTTTTCTGCAGACCGTCTGTAGTGGGTGGGGTCTGCTGGGCTCCTACCACAGCTCTGCTGTCTGCACGGGTTGTGTACAGCACAGTGGTGATGTCACTACTGCTTTCACAAGGTAATATCTGGATTTACAAAATAATTTATTGCACACAAAGTGGATTTATATCCTTTGTTGCCATTCCTTGAGGTGTCTGTTTTAAACAGCCCCGATGCTGGCGTCGTCAGTCACGAAGGGGTTAAAGGTTAATTCCATTTTTTCAGAGGTTTATTTGGGAAAATTGAATGATCCCCCTCCAATCTGGCCCCCTCCACCCCTCCCTGCTATACTTAACCTTGGAGGAATGCTCCTTTCCCTCCACCGGGGCCGATGTACTATTCCTGTTCCTTCACCGCTACTTCGGTCACCCTCATACTCTGTCCTACACTCTCTTACTCACATTTTCAATATCTCACTCTCTACTGGAATCTTTCCCTCCCCTCTGAAGCATGCCCTGGTCACCCCAATTCCCAAAAAACCCTAAATGGACCCTACCGACCTCAATAATCTCAGACCAATCTGCTTACTCACATTCACCTCCAAACTCCTAGAACGCCTCATCTACTGCCGCCTAAGTCGCCACCTAGCTGATCACAACCTTCTTGACCCCTTACAATCTGGCTTTCGTCCCCAACTCTCCACTGAAACCGCCCTCCTAAAACTCACTAATGACCTACTCACTGCTAAAAACAAAGGCCACTATTCCTTACTCTTGCTATTAGACCTTTCTGCTGCTTTTGACACTGTTGACCACCTGCTCCTCCTCAAAAAACTCCACTCACTTGGACTACAAGACTCTGCTCTCTCGTGGTTCTCCTCTTACCTATCTAAACGCTCCTTCAGCGTCACCTACAATTCTAAATCCACCCCTCCTCTTCCTCTTTCTGTAGGGGTCCCCCAAGGCTCTGTCCTTGGACCGCTTCTCTTCTCTATTTACACCTCCTCCCTGGGTCAGCTGATCACCTCATATGGCTTCCAATACCATCTCTATGCGGATGACACTCAAATCTATCTTTCTACTCCACAACTCTCCCCCTCTGTGTCCTCTCGTGTCACTAATCTACTATCTGACATATCCGTCTGGATGTCACAACACTTCTTAAAACTCAACCTTTCAAAAACTGAGCTCTTGATATTTCCTCCTGCCCGTGCACCTTCTCCCGTCTTTTCCCTTGAGATTGTTAACACAACTATCCACCCCTCCTCCCATGCCAAGGTCCTAGGTGTCATCCTTGACTCGGGCCTCACCTTTCTTCCCCACATCCAGTCACTATCCAAATCCTGCCACCTTCACCTTCGTAACATCTCCAAAATACGCCCCTTCCTCACCAATGAAACTTCAAAATTACTCATCCACTCCCTTGTTATATGTCGTCTTGACTATTGTAACTCCCTCCTCATTGGCCTTCCACTACACAGGCTATCCCCCCTTCAGTCTATCATGAATGCAGCTGCTAGACTCATCCACCTAACCAACCGCTCAGTGTCTGCAACCCCCCTCTGCCCATCCCTGCACTGGCTTCCATTCCCTACCCCCCTCTGCCAATCCATGTCCTGGCTTCCAATAGCCCAAAGGATAATCTTCAAAATATTAACAGTCAGTTACAAAGCCATCCACAACTCTGCCCCTGGTTATATATCAAACCTGGTCAGAAGAAGAGCCAGCTGTGCCCGCCCCCTTCCCGTCCATTCCTCCACTCGGCACTGGAGGATCGGAGAGGGGGGAATCCCTACCAGTAATCGCTCTCTGCAGGGAGACGATCAGAAAGTGAGCGGATTGGCTGCATGTTTCTGCTTACTTCCCGATCGATAGAGCCGACCTGCGACAGCTTCTTTGTCACACGTCGGCTCTAACTATGAGGATGAGTGGAAATCACTCACCTCAATGTTCTCCTTTTAAAGTAAAACTTCAGACAAACATCAAATGTTATTTTTATATCTTCTTGGAATAAATAACTGAAATATTCATATCATCTTCCCATAATCACATGTAATCAAAAAGTTCAAGTGCCTGCGCTGTGCGCTAATCAGGCTGTAATGGAATTTTCATGAGGTTAGCTGATTATTTTGTCTCGGGTGGAGCACCCTAATGGTAATATAAGAGTGATTTCAGATCACTTGTTTATTTCATCCATGATGGGAAGAAAACTAAATGGATCTGTGTTTGTCCTTTCCCGAGCATGTAAATGCTTACCTGGTTGTAGACAGAGACTGGGCAGTGTTGGTCAACTGACTTGATGTAGTGGTCCTCCAGTGTGGCGCCTGGCATCACCAAAGGGCCACACAGAATATTCGGTAATTGTAATGTTACAGAGAAATTTAAGAAACTGCAGACATGCTTCTGGAGATGGTCAGAGACTACAGACATGCCACAGGAGGTGGTCAGAGACTGCAGGAATGTTACAGGAGGTGGTCAGAGACTGCAAGAATTTTACCAGATGTGGTCAGAGACTGCAGACACGATATAGTTTTTACAAAGGAACAGATTGTTTCCGCAGTGGGCTGTGCAAGGACCCAGTGGGGAGAAAAAAGGGGGCTTTTTAGAAACCAGTCCAGACCTCGTATATAAAAGTCTTAGAAAAACATTTATTCACTAAATTGTTGTATACATAATTTAGAACCAAAAAATAAAGTACAAAATCATGTCATCAATAAAAATATATATCATTAATAAAAATACATATTGAATGTGCAGGTTCAGCGTTAGGTGACAATACCGTGCGGTTACGAGATATGCGGTAACTTATTTTCAGATGATGTAAACGCTCCTATAGGTCCTTAGAGAGGAAAGCCCAGCCTCCTGTGACAGTGCTGTCTCCGCACCCACACCACTCTGCCGGACTGTAATAGGCGGCAGAGCGGTGTGGGAGAAGAGACGCCGGCCGCTCACTCGGGGGAACGGACGGGGGAGCGGTGTCATGTCAGATGTCCAGCGGTGCGGAGGAGAGAAGCCGCCCCGAGGACGAGCTGTGTAGGCCACCAGGCGCCTTTGTTGCCATGGTGCCCTGTGCGGCCACACAGCTCGCACACCCGTAAGGCCGGCCCGGTATATGGTATGAGTTACTATGTCCACAATTATGAATGAACAGGAAGTCATGTAGAGCATTGGGGACACAGTAAACATACTCTGTCCTCAATTATTTACAGGCACTCAACGATCAGCTGATCACTGACCACTTGTACTCCGGTCTCCATCCTGACTCGCTGTCGCAGGAGGCTTAGTAGGGCAGTGCGGGCAGGAGAGCTCGGCCTCCTGTGACACCGCTGACAGTGCTCTCCTCCCCGCCCCCCCTGAAAGTTTTCTCTCCTCCCAGCTGGGTGCTGCTCTGTGTCAGCGGGGACACAGAGCATTTTTGGCCAAAAGGTTATTGCTTCATCATTTTGCCCAAAAGTACAATTTTCTGCCGGAATTTTATTGCATCCCTAGTTATAACTGTTCCTTGCTCTATCCAAAACTAAAAAAACATTTTGGCTTCAGTTCTACTTTAGGTCAGAACAATAAAACAGATTTCTGATTTGTTAATCTCAACATTACCTTTGTGTGCTTCAGCAGCCAATCAGGGCCTATGCAAACATAAAGATTTCAGTCCCATGCTGAGCCAAAGCCAGGTGGAGGTTGGTGCTGTTGTACTGTTGTTGGGTAAATCTTCGAGGGATCTAGTTGGCTTATCTACTGATATTTGTACAGCCATATTAGCTTTGCTTTCAGCGGCGATCCTTCTACCTGTAATAAATCAGCCCTGATGAAAGGGTTGCTTTATGACCTCGGAAATGAGTTGGCTCTGCTACTTTTGGATTTACAATTAAATGAACCAGCGCTGACGTTTTGCCTTTTCGTTTATTGTCTGCGGCGACTCCTCTTTGTCACCCACACTTGAATCACCTAACAAAGCTGTGCTGCCTGATGCCTTTTATCAATAAATGTCTCTGCCTGCCCCTTTGTGCAAAGGGAAGTCAACAATGGCCTGATACACTGTACACAGTCACCATCCCGAAGGTTCAGATTACCTCAATGCCATGAAGTGGCCAGTCCTAAGTATGCTAAAATGTATGTATAGGCGAAGCATTCTTTTAGCTTTGGGTAGAATGTAAAAGTGTTCAGCTCTTAAGTCTTTTGCTGTCTATATCCCCACTGGGGAAAATCCCCCTTTTATTATTTATTTCCTGTTGACCCTTGCCACCGAGAAGGTAAGGGGAAGTTCACAATTTTAGTCTTGTCATGCAAGAGACCACGGGAAATCATCTAATGTGTGACAACTGTCCATAATATCTGTAAAAAAATAAGTCAAGGTATTTTTCTTAAATATGTTTCACTGGTCATCCGACCAGCTTTCGCAATTCAGAATGGTTTGTACAAAAATTCGCTGGGAATAAATATGGTGAATGTTGCTCCAATCCACATAATCTGTTAGTCGCAACCAGGCATTGATTGCATTTGCATAATTGAAGCTAGGAGGGGTAATAATCTGCCCAGCTTCTAGGATGTGTACTTGACTGTCTTCAAAGGAGTGACCTTTTTCGTTTTAGATGTAGGTATACTGCCGAATCCTGACCAGATTATACCATGACCTTATATTTAGCCATGTAGTTCATACTTTGGCTGTCAGTATATCTATTATGTCAGCTGTGACCATCATTGCTCCTCTTCATATACACTGCTTCCCCATCCCACGTTGACCTCACGTCTGTGTGTTTCTTTTATTAGCAAACTTAAAAAGCTGAGTGAAGACAGCTTGACGAAACAGCCAGAAGAGGTCTTTGATGTTTTGGAAAAGCTTGGCGAAGGGTAAGTGTAAAATGTAATATTCTTTTTATCACTTGTGCGGTGATTCATGGATAAAATGGGGGTCTCTGAGGTTTGCTTTAAAGCGTGACTGTAAAGTATTTTATGAGATGACTATAACGCTAACTTTGAATGTGTTCAGGGAGATCTCTCTTCTCTTTACATCTTTACATGCAGGAACCCTCTAATATTGGGAAATATTAAAAATGATCAATGCCAGAATTACTATATAAAAACAGTCAGTCTTTTCATTGAACTTTTTTTATCCAGATTGGAATACCTACAAGAGATGGTGTGTGTGCGTAAATTTGATATGTTGATTTGGATTTTATTGTACACAATAGAGGTGGTTTCCGTTGGAGGATTTCATTTCCCTCTTGGTCTGTTTTTCTTTTTATACCTTATAATATTGTTTTGGTGAACGTCCCAGTCTAGGAATATAATTTTTTGGTGAGAGGGGGCTATATCATAGTTTTTATTGAACACCCGTTTTCAATTTCTTTGTGTATGGGAAATAATTGTTTTGCATGTTGGGAGAAATAACGTATTCATTCTTTTCATAAGCTTTTTTTTTTTGTAATTTAAAGTGTGTCGGTAGTATCAGATCAAGTGTCTTTGTTTAATAAACATCATCCCTAGAGAAAGTACAGCAAACATACAGATGTCAATACTTTTTTCCTGTAATTCTTTGTAACCCTTGCTGTGCTGATTACGTTATCTCTACTGAATGGGAGGATTGGTGTTCATGAAGGGATGCTGATCAGCAGGCTCTCGCCCTTTGGCACAGATCATTTGCTTTGGCCATGGCACCAGAGTTTTCTTGAGTTTTAACTTTTTCGGGAGAAAAGTATTTGACATCTGCCTTTTTGTTTTTCACAGTAGCCTAATGATTGCACATGCATGTTAAAATCTAAACATTAGATCCATGTGATTGTCTAATAGTTCAATGCAACCTAAGGTAAAAGAGCTCTCATTTTTGTCACATTCTGTTGATCATTTTTCGAAGGTTAAACCAGAAAAAAAAGACATCAGTCCAATTCAAATACACTGCCCGGCCAAAAAAATGTCACCACCTGGATTTCGGGCAGTATTGTGATCTGGGGTGGCTTCAGTTAGTCAGGTCTAGCTTCAGCAATGTTGCTCAAAAAATGAGGTCTGCTGCCATCCTGAATATACTGATTGGCCATGTTTTTCTCTCAATTGATTTTTTTCTTCACTGATGGCACATTGGGCATATTCCAGGATGACAATGCCAGGATTCATCGGGCTTCAAATTGTGAAAGAGTGGTTCAGGGAGCATGAGGCATCATTTTCACACATGGATTGGTCACCACAGAGTCCAGACCTTAACCCCACTGAGAATCTTTGGGATGCTCTGGAGAAGACTTTACACAGAGGTCCGAATCTCCCATCATCACTACAAGATCTTGGTGAAAAATGAATGCAACTCTGAATGGAAATAAATGTTGTGACATTGCATAAGCTTATGGAAATGATGCCCCGGCGAATGCGTGCCGTAATCAAAGCTAAAGGCTGTCCAATTATATATTGGAGCATGTGACTTTTTTTTTTTTTGGCCGGCAGTGTATTTTAATGGGGTTATGTGCGATGTATCAAACTGTTTTTCTTTAAAATTCAATCATATTAAGTATTTACAGTTGAATCTAAAGGTGCTTGCAGACTAAAAGTGGAAGATAAGTGGTGGTTTATTTTTGCTTAGTTCAGTTAAGTTATCTTAAAGTGCTTTTAAACTAGGCCCGGATGGCGGCTGGAGATGCTATGAAATGTTAGATTTATTCTTGTTGGATATTCTCTCAGCCGTAAGCTTACAAGCTTTGAGACTGACCGTTCTGGCTAATGTTCAGGGAAGGATCGTGTTGTTTACACTCCTCTTCTACGCTCATCCATTCACTAGGAGCCTTGTATTCTTTTCACTGAATACAAGGTATGGTGTGAATTGACAAGGGGAGATCTTGTCCTTTACCCGTCCTCCTCTTCCCTTGTTCGTTCACAGAATGCTTTGTGTTCAATAAAAGGAATACATGGCTTTTTGTGAATGGATGAGGGTGCCGAAAGGGAAGTGTAAATGACATCTTTCTTTACTGTACAGCCGGAAATGTCGGTCTCGGCACCCTAAACTCATGGCTGCCAGTAGCCCTTCCATGTTCACTTTACTTTAAAAAATTAGTTATGAATTGATGATGTGTGTTTCCCATTTGTGTCACTGACAGTAGTATTTGGCACAAACAAAACAAACATTTTTGGTATCCCCGCTGTCATCTTACCTAGCATTGGAGATGGCTTCTCTGGATCAAACAAAGTTTAAAAGTTCATTTTTTCGCCCCTGGAGTTCCACTTTAAGAGAATGTTTGCTTGATCTGCCAGTTCACAGTCTTATAGGGAACATTTGTATGTCTGTAGGTTCATGCACAACCCTGGCCAGAGCTCCTCGATTGAGCCAACCTGGCGGGGTATTTCATTGGCTTGAATATATTTTTCTAAGCCCTGGTTCACACCTAGGCGTTTTTGAGCACTTAAAAAAAAAAGCGCTTTGAACTGCCCAACAAGAAATCCCATGATTTTCAATGGCCCTGGTTCACACCTGAGCAGAAAAACGCCATATGCCCGAAAATCTACAGAGCTTCTTTGGGCAGTTAAATGCGCTTTTCCTCCCCATAGACCTAATTGGAAATGCCCCAAAACGTGCATCAGAAGCTTGTTGCACATTTTCATGAGCGTTCTTCCATTGCCCACAATGGTTTATGAGCTGTCAATCCGCCGTCTTCATTTATGCGCATTAAAATGCGCATACAGATGTGCACAACATGTATAAACGTGCAAATAACCGTATGCTGCTAACGCCTGTAAAAAAACGCGCAAAAACGGTGCCGCCTAGGTGTGAACCAGGGCTTATGGATCACTATTGATACAGGTTGGTGCCCTCTGCCCTCCTTGCTCATGGCTTCAGGCCTTACCATTAAACATAGAACAGAATCCAGAAACGTATTGATATCAAACATAAACCACACTGTTTAGAGCTTCTGCTAACAGCTTCCTGGCCCTGTCCAGCAGCAGCTTTTACTTCCCTGACACAGTAACACTTCATCTTTTGCTATTCATAGCAGCGGAAGTTGCTTGCTCCCAGTGCACAGAGAACTGCTGTTAGTAGTTTCCTGTTGCAGAACGGTAGCAGCCTTTCCTAATGACCTCTGTCTACAGAAGCCGCTTTTCTCTTTATTTATGTTTTTTTCTTTTTCGGTCTCGTTTTTCCTTCATTGTGGTTTTATAAAGGGAAGCCGTCTCTCATGAATGCACTGCTTTCTCAACAGGGATCAGGTTCTTTAGAATGCAGTAATGATTAGAGTTCTTGGGCCTTCATCAATCGGGTGGGTTTGGAGGAATATGTTCATGCGAAATTCCACCTTTTGCAGAAAAATAATTAAATGCACGCTTCTTATTAAAGAAAAAAAAATGTGCATTTATTATTTTGTTAGCATAGGAGCCTGTAGAACAGAAGATTGCAGGTGCAATGCTGTGTATCCTGCAGACTGTTCCTCACATTCATGTTCATACCGGGGTATAGGCATTCAATAACATGGCCTGCAGGAAGTATTAATGGACTACAAGTGCGGTGATGTCACCGTATTGTATTCCATTGAAACTACAAGCCCCCTGCCGCAGTGCCTGATGTGACTCGTAGTGTATCCATTTACAGATCCTATCAAAGGATCTGTGAATGATGATGTGGCTGTGTGAGCGTAGCCATGCACAGCCGCGCCAAATTCAGCAGCCTGTGCGGAGAAGAACCCAGCGATTCAGGTAAAGGGGGGGGAAGGGCGGGGGGTGTAAATATGGGTGAAAACAGGATCAGAATGGTGCCTTGGCCTTTAATACGGGAGGGCATTAGCCCCCTTAAGGATCATTCCACTTACAAGTGATATTTTAGTTATTAGTTGAGCTTGGAGGGCGAAACAAGCTGCTGCATTTTTATATCTTGTGAAGACCCCAGTGGCGAGATATCCCTGCATCCTAAACTCCTTACAGCTGTCATATACAAAGTGGCTCCGGAGGTATAACTTAGATTGTGGAACTTAAAGAAAACCAAAGCCACTGATTGACATGTTTCCTGAAAGAAACCAAGTTACAAATGGTCAATAAACGTTATTAAAACATCAAACATACTAATGCTTTCTGCAGTGTTTTGATTCACATTCTGTCTCCTAGCACATGGGCACGGTGTATGCTACATTCAAAGAGTGCCACTGGTGATGGCTGTCACAGTTACCAGTGTGCTTATGTCGGCTCTCAACTGATCTTTCAAGCCCCCAAATGGCTGGTGTCATTGCTGGCCATGTGTGCAACACTATATTGCAAATACAGATCTAAATAGAGGCCAATATAGCACCGCTCCCAGCAGGGATTCCCTCCTCCCCTGGGGGGCAGGGGGGGGGGGGGGCATCACAGCTGGCTCTGGATCTGGAGAGGCAGAGCCAGCTGTCAATCAGGTATTGGGTCGGATTCCAAAAATATTGTCAGGATCTTTCCCAGCTGCATCGCGGGTCTGCACTGTCAGCAAATGGCCATGACCGAGTGCCCGACTTTTCAGAGGGGGTGACACCAAAATGACTCAGTCATTTTGGTGTCACCCAGGTGCGGGCCGCACCCCCCTTGTGACGCCACTGGCAAGTGCTATCATTCACCCTGCTCAGCTGTAAACCATGTGCTTTATATTATATAGTTCTTCACACTGCTCTTTGTTTGCCACAGTGCATGTCTGTAAACCATGTGCTATACATTATGTATTGTGCACTGGCCAGCTGTATGCAGTGTGGTGCATGTTGTATATTTTGCAAGACTCGGCTTTCTACACTCTGCTGTACGGTTTAGATTTATACATTCTGCTCTACACAATATATTCCACACTTCTTAACGTTATGCAACAAGCTGTATGTTATATCTGATTGTGCCGCAATATAAAGTCTGTGCTCTACATTATACACACT